TTTGGTACAGGGAAAAATAGCGCGTTCATTAAAAAAAAAAAAAAATTGCACTAAAAGCAAAAAATAAGCACTAAAAAAAAAAATAAAAAAATAAATAAATAAATAAATAAATAAGGGCTTTAAAGAAAAAGTAAGCACCTATAAGGGCCTTTATATTTTATTTTCAAATATAAGGACTTATAAGCACTTATAAAGTCCGCTACGAACCCTGCCTTTAAATTTTATTTTTTAACAATACTTGTTAAAAAAAGCCTTATTAAAAATCAAAATCTAATAAAATTTCACACTTTAAAATACATGTAATTTATGACATTGATTCTTAAACGATATTAGGATAATTACACATTAAAAGCTACAAAACATTTATGTTTTGTAACAACAATACTCAACAAAATATTTATCTGTCATTTTAATTTGAAGCCCATAAGGTTTTTCTTCCACCTTCTTGGCGAGCCTTCGTGGTGTAGTGGTTTGCACACTGGGCCGGTATTCCAGAGGTCCGCTGTTCAATTCCCAGCGAAGGCATTGTTAATTTTTTATCTTTCCTGCTTTCAAAAATATCTAATGTCTCTACAAGTCTTCACAAACATTTTGGCTAGTTTATATCGGTTTCCTTCTCTTTAAGCATCTTTTCTAACAATTACAGATTTGTCTCATTATGAAAACCAATGCTCTCGCTAGTTTCTGCATACTTTATCTTTGAACATGTCAACCTCTCCACAATGTACCTATGAGTGTTTACTTGATCTGTAAAAGTTAAATAGTCCAAAACCCCCGACAGACGTGAAGCATATTATCGCTATGCCTGAAATTAACTACAATATCAGACAAAGGTTTAAATAACAAGAACAGTCAAATTCAAGCTAAATGTGGACTAGTGGTTCAAAGATTATACAATTTAATTTTAATTAAATTTGGCTCAATAACTATATCACATGAGGAAATAGAAATGGGAAATTATAGTAAAGGCTGAAATCATAAACAATTGGGTAATTTACATAATAATAACTGCACATATCTTTGAAGAATAATTTTCTTTATGTATTCAGTTATTCTTAATTAGTTTCTTTCTTCAAAAAGTTTCCTTTTCATTTTAGAATTTTTGGATTTAATTAAGGATTTCTGTTATTCTAAAAAACACTAAATGCATTTAGAATGTACAGAAAAAGTGGCTAATTTTATTTCTTTAGTAGTATGAAATATATATAGTAAAGGCCGGTTACAGAGCTGATGTGGCAGAATTTCTAGAATTTAATGACTCACCAAACAACAAATTCTAGAAATGGCAAAACTTTTAGAATTTAGAGCAAGCATTGGGAAGCAGAATTTAGAAAGGCACTAAATAGCAGAATTTAGGATCTACAGAGATTGCATCACGTGGGAAAATGCCTAGTGCCAGCTATGCCTATGATGCATTAAGAAATGAATCTTTTAAACTGTAAGTTTTGAATTTCTTTATTAATAAAAAAATTCCTTTCTATAATGCCTGCGCCCATGTGATATGATCCGAAACATTTTTGATATTTTCCATGCTTCTGTCTAGTGAAAAGTAGAGAAAATAAAGGGAAGACAAACATGTTAAGATTCTAGTATCAGAAATAAAACATTCAAATATAATGTTTTCATTGTTGTTCCAGACGTTCTCCAAAAAGTAAAAAATTCATTCAAAACTTTCTGTTAAATGCATCCATTATGTGTTGATACCATGGAGACATTTTTCATTTTGTCACATATTTCTCAAATTTTCTAGAATCAAAGGGTCTATAAATCTTGCCTAGCATTATATCTTGCTATTTTTCAGATTCAAATTGAAACTTTATAATAGGACAGCGAAAAATAAAAATGTTTTATTTTAATGTTCTTTTTTAAATATAATTTCAATATATTACCATTATTTTAATCAAATTTATTAATGTTACGTTGTTTTAAAAAAAAATCATGGACAAATTCTCAGATCTTAGAATTAAAAATTTCTATATAAACTAATCTTAAAATCGCCAAAATGTCGCAAAGTCACCAAATTTACATCCGTTTAAATAAAAGAATTCACATTCTCAAAAGCAAAAAGTCATTAAGAGCTCTTTATTAGAAAAAATTAATTTCGAAATGCTTATGTTTCACTTCTTGCTTAGAAACTCAAGTATCTCATCATTTATATTAGAAACAGAAACAAATTATAACTCATAAACCCATTCAAAAGATTTACTATATATATGGCAGTGAATTGCCAAAAATATTCCTCCAAAATGCTAATTGACACTTAAAATGGCAGTCGTAAAAAAAGACAGAAATTTCAGATGATTAAAATTAAGGACTACAAATCGATTCCAAAAGATTTAAGGACTTTTAAGGACCGTACGAACACTGTAATAATGACAAGAAGAATGTTGACTGGAATTCAGAAGTAAAAAAAAATTGCTTATTATTTTATAAATTCTAAAATAAGTAATTTTTCTTCCTATCGCTTTTTTATTGTAAACAAGTGATATTCCACAAAGTATGCTCTTCAGGGCATAACCAAACATATCATAAAAATAATAACGGAAATTCCATGTAATACACAAAAACTACACAATGCTAACTGAAATTCATTTACTCATGAAATTGAATAACGTAGTCTTCAAACAAGCATGCACTAAAAATTATACTTTTTGTTCACATACAAAAATACTAATATTTTTAAAAAATTTAAACTGGCAACTTAATTTTTTATTCAGTGTTTATATTAGTTTGCTGAACACAAATATATGAAATTATTTAACTGAAATTATTGCTTACCCATTGGCTCATTATCTTGATTATTACCAGGACTTGAGATGATACTTTCATGTGAACCTAAAATAACATGGTAATATTGTTTGCTCATATACAGAGTCACTTTCAGTGTGTTATATAATAATACTAATTTTGGTCAATAATTTGCATTGTCTAACAAACTAGTATGACAAAGAACTTGCTTACTATCTGACAACAGAGAACTATTTAACTTCGCAAGTGAAAAAGCTTCTTCCCATCCATTTTCATAAAATCTACATTTCTCTTTTAGGTCTCTTATATGGTGTTCACACTCACGCAATTTTTCTTTTACTGCCTCACGTGATATTTCATGTTGTGTCAGTTCTCTCTGCACTTCATGAAGCATTCTTTTTTGCACAGCAAGTGCTTCTCTGGTTGCCTTTTGTAAAAATGCCTGAAAAATATGAGAATTTTATCTTTTAAATTCTGGCTGCTTCTTATTAAATACAAACTTTAGGATTCTACCACAACATATGCTAGAATAATGCAGCATGAGCTTAAGCCCACGCTGTTGATGACGTTACTATGCACTTTGATTTGATTTACAGAAACATTTTGGATGACCCAGAAAGTACAGTAAGCTGCATTAAATTGAAACACTTGCAATATTTTAACAATTAAAGACTACAGATGAAAACTTTACACTTTAAAATATTAAAAAAAATTTTTTTTTTGTTGTTCATTAACATTTCAAGCACTTTGAATACATATATATATGTGGGAACTCTAACTGTAACTAAGATTATGTAAGAGCACCATCTAGATTAGTGTGGTCAGATGAGATGATACGTGAATGATAGTGAGGACAGACATGTCCAAAGTGTTTCGACGATTATTCTTTTTACTTTTCTTTACATTCTAATGTAACTAAATAAATCCTAGTTTAACTTTATGAGTTGTAGTTATGCTTATCATCAATCCTTCCCCATATATATATATGTGTGTGTGGTGATGCCATTTCCTTTCAATTCACAAACACACAAAGACACACATATATAAGGCACAGTAAAATGAAAACAAGATATATGTAAAAACAAAATTAGTATACATTCCTGCACGTGGAAATTAAGTACTTTTAGGGACAATTAATGAACCAACAACAAATGAGAATTGACTAAATTCAATTACAGTTATTAGCTATGCCTGAACATGACATTTGTGATACCATCCTAAGAATAATACAGGGTTATTCAAAAAGAAAGAGCAGATTTCAAACATTTATTTTCTTCCAAACTACAAAAGATAGAAACATGATTCTAGCGTTAATGGACAGAGAAAAGTTTACAATTATGGTATGCATTCAATATGATCACCGTGTTACACGACAAATGTCAAAATGGTGGTTCATTTCTTGCCACACATGATTCAGCAGGTCTTTGGTTATTGAATTCACTGCTTCAATAATTCAATGTCGTAGATCTTCAAGAGTGTAAGGCATAGGAGGAATAAAAACATGCTCTTTTACGTAACCCCAGAGATAAAAATTGCAAGGAGTGATATCTGGACACTTGGGAGGCCATCGTCGATAAAGTTGATCTTCTGCTCCTTTTTCTGGAATGGTGTTATTCAACGTCAAATGTGTCGAAAGAAATGAGGCAAGGCACCATCTTGCACAAAGATGAAGTCATCTGAATCATCTTCAATTTGGGGAAATAACCAGTTTTTAAGCATATCTAAACAGATTATTCCTGTCACAGTTTTCTCCACAAAGAAGGGCCCATACACTTTGGTTACAGAGCTTATAGCACAGAAGACGTTCATCTTTGGTGAATCTCTTTCATGTTCAATAACTGCCGTAGGATTTTCAGTTGCAAAAATTCTAACGTTATGGCGATTAACTTTACCAGAAAGATGAAAAGTGGGTTCACCAGAAAAATTAATCGTTCAGCAAAATTGTCTTCTTCCATATCACCTGACATGCTACTGCAAATTTCGTACCTTTGTTGTGGTCGTCAGGATGCAATGCTTGCAATAATTGCAGATTGTATGGCTTCATGTACAGAAGATGTTTTAGAACTCGCCATACCGTTGGTTGAGGAATTTTAAGTTCTTTGCTTGCTCGCGATATATATTACCGTTATTTTCAGATGTGGATTTCTTTGGGCTCCTTTCGTAAAGTGTACGAATACGCTCGACATTCTCGCTCGATGTGTGTGAGCGTCCCGTGCTTTTACCTTTGCAGATGCAACCATCTTCTACGAATTTTCGATGCCAGTTGTAAATTTGCTTATGAAGCAGTGGTTGTTTATTAAATCGACGGCAAAATGCTCGCTGAACTGAAACAATGGACTCTAGTTTTGCCAACTGTAAAACACAAAAAACGTTCTGCTGCGGTGTTGCCGCCATTTCACTACAGACTACCAACCGACAAATAATACCAGAACAAACAACAGCGCCAATGCGTCCATGATTGGAACTTTTACCCGTACTAAATTGTTAACTTTTCTCTACTCATTAACGTTAGAATTATGTTTCTATCTTTTGTAATTTGGAAGAAATACATGTTTGCAATCTGCTCTTTCTTTTTGAATAACCCTGTATAGATCCATAAGTATAATGCATTATTATTGAACATAATTTAATAAACTTAGTTATAAAACATAACTTAAGACACTTAAATTATTAATAAAATTTGAGAAAATCAACTTCATAAAATTTAACAGTCAGCATTTAATATTTTACCCTTATAATCGTTGGACATATTTGAAAGAAGATTGGGTGACATTTTATTCATATTTTGCTAACAGCTTTATGTTGATTTTCTCTTTTATGTCTCATTTTGTCCCATACTTGCTCAGACAGGGTTCGTACACATTTCCTCACATGAAAATTAAGGACTTTTAAGGACCATCAAAGAAAAAATTTAGGACCTATCAGCAAACAAACAAACAAAAAATAAATAAATAAATAAATAAAAAAAATAAATAAAGCAATTATGCATACAACCGACTTCATGCTTGTAATTTCACTTTAAGAAACTAACAGAAGTGTGTATTATGCACTATTATTAAATTCAATTTAATACTTACCATAAAACAATTTTCATAATTAAACTAACTCCCTACAAGTTATGAAGTAGATAACATTAAATTAGGAACATAATCTCTTTAAAAACATGTATAAGTGTATTTTAAAATAATAACAGTCACTATTTTAGAGATTTATATGATTATTATTAACTTATTTGATATTTATTTAAACACAGTCAACTACCATTATAATCACAATCTAAGAATATTTTGCAGATTAAAATAACTGATTTGTAAACATACAATTTATTTCCTTGGTTTTCTGAAAGATACTAGAATAATAAACTGTACAATAAAAGATACAAAACATTTGTGGTTTTTTTAAATCTGAAATCTTTTCAGCTATTTTAACATGTGATTTATTTATGCCTATTTCCTTTTCTTTAACTATTCTTCTAAGTTCATTTGCTTTGATAAACAAATCAATGTTCATGCTGGTCTCAGCTTCATCTGCTAAAGCATCTACTTCTTCATTAATATCTTTAATGTCCCTTTGAAGAAATTTTTTCTTCTGCTTCATATAATCAATTTCTTCCTCAATGATATTTCTTTTCCTCTTTTAATTTTCAGATTTAGTTAAAGATCTTTGTTCTTCTAAATACTGCATATATTTAGACCTTGCAGAAGCTGCTACTGATCTCATTTCTTTATTAATTTCGATATTAAGAACAACTCCAGAAAATTTTATGTAATCAAATACTGTGCATTAAAAATGTATGATGAGTCACTTAAATTTTCAATTTCAATTGCTTTATTTACGGAGAAGCCCCTTTCCACAGAGGCCTGTCCATGTGACAAGATAAGAATCATTTTCACTATTTTCCATACTTTTGAATAGTGAAAATCATGAAAATAAGAAGTGAGAAATGTGTCAAGAGAAAGATTTTGAGGATCAAAAGTAGAAAATTCATGTAAATTTGTCTTAACTACTTTGTCTAGAAACTCTCCATACTGCAGCAGAATTTCATCCCAATCATCTTGTAAAACATGTTTATTTTGCATTAATACCGTTAGAACTATTTTCATTTTGTTCTGGGCTTTTTCTGGACTTTTAACCATCAATTGCGAGTCTATACAAGATGCATTTCCAATAAGAGAATAATTTATTGGACATTTAGACATTAAGTGTTGTACTATTGTTAAGACAAATTGTTGACCTTGTTTCAATGCAAAACTTTCAGCTTGTGAAATGTCCTTCTTGCAGCATTTATCATTCATTAACTGCTCAGCAATGAATCCCAAATAAACATTACTTTTATCATAATAACAATTGGGATCATTAAAATTAAATTTATAAAGATTTTCTGCCTTAGTTATTTTTGAATATTCTAGTTTCAAATTTTAAAGTGCTGAAGGCAATCATTTACAAGTTTTAAGATATCTTCAGCAAAAAAGGGAATAAAAAGTTTATCACTTTGATAATATTCAAGGAAAGGCAATAATATTTTCGACAGAGAGAGATAAAAATTTAATTTTATAAGAAATGTTTTTATCTTTACTTGCCTTCAAAATATTTGAGAAGGATTTCGATGAATTTTTTTTTAACTACCCCATTTCAACTTCTTTAATGTACAGTAGCAAGTCATCCCATATTTCAATAGCTCTTTCAACTGCTGGGACATTTGCAACCATAGGTAAAAGCAGAACTTCACAGGTAACTTTTTTAAGCCAGATATACCTAAAAAATCTTCACGTCTTGCAGGAGAATCTTTAAAAAATCCAATATAAGGAGGATAAGAATGATGGAATGTCCCAGCCAGTGGATGACATTATATGCTTGAAAGCATTCTTAAGAATGTGTAAACCGCATGCCCCTAATGTCAAGCATTGAATGTTATATTCCTTTGTCAAGTCCTGTTGCAATAAATCATAAAATTTCCAGTTTACTGCAGGACCATCCATCGATATTTGTAAGAGTTTTGACAAGTCTAGTTTTTCAACACATTCATAAAATTTGGATAAAATAATTTCACATTTTGCATGCCTTATAAATGCAGAAGTAAGGTACTGAGTTCTGACCTTATTTTCGTGATGCCAGTCCTCACATAAATATCTAGTTGCTTCTTTTGATTTGTCACATTAAGAGTCTCATCAAATAGTAATGTAAAAAACTCTGCATTTTTACAATACTTTAGTAACAAAGTTTTAAAATAAGGGCCAAGACCAAAATAACAGATATAAGCACATTTCTTTTCACCACATGAAAACTCCGGACATCCAATATCTGGAATGATCTAAAATCCAGACCTCAAAGCGACCACCAACCAATTTTTTAGGGCTTTTTTGGAGGGAAGGGGTATGCTTTACGCATGCGCATTAGATTTTTTTCCTATCATAAAAAAAACATGCCGGAAATCCCGATTTT